ATCTATTTTTTGATGAAAACTATTTTCACCTACGAAAGTTATTTACGAAAAAAAGAACAGTTTATTTTTCACTTTAAAGAAAATAGGAAGAGAGAAAGGAAAACAATTGTTTTTCTTTCTTTCTATTTTTTTCTTAATTGCAAAGAAAGTAAGAGAAATATTCTCTTGGAAATATCATTCTGACGCTAGTTAATCGGGAAAACGAGCCAATTAACTAAGTGAGAAGTTCCAATGAAGAGAGAGAGAAAGACTTTTTTTCTCTCGCCCATTTGTCTCGATTTTATAAAGATCCTCTTCTCTTCTCCAGTGTCGTTAGTATAAAAGAAAGTAAAACAAAAAGTTTCTCCACCAAATCAAGTGAGTAGTTTGTCAAAGAAAAAGGAAAACAAAACTGTGAATTGGAAAAAGAAGAACAGAAGATTGAGTTAAAACGATAAATAGAATGCTAAAAGATAAACTTCTAATTAGATAACGAAAAGAGAGAGAGAGGGAAAACAAGACGTTTAACTTTATTGAAAGATAATTTTGAAAAAAATCCAAATTCTTTATGAAAGAATTTTTTTATTTCGATTCATAACACAATTTACGAAAAAATTGAAACTGTTCAAAAAATAATTTTCTTTAAATTAATATTTACAATATCGAGTTTCCTCTTTCTCTCTCTTTCACAATGTCAGTCATGAATTTTCAAGAATTTACGCCAAGAGATTTAGACGAAGCAGTTATATCCATTTGTGCACGTGACTGAATGTAGTTTACCTACTCGACATTCCAAACACTCGAAAACTCGAGTTAATCGTCGGAGCGAAAGCGTTTACTTTGCTCTGCTGAAATGTTAGCAAATGGGGTGGACGGTGGGTGGGGGGAAGTGGGAGGGGATGGTAAAAGAGAGGTGGAGAGAATTTGATGTTTCTCGCAGTGCATATGAGAGACGAAAAGACCAGCAAACGGTTAATGTTGATAGGAAGCGAGGGGAGAGGAAAGAAGGGGGAAGGGGTAAACAGACATATTCGCCCCTTGACTGGAGGGGAGAATTTACCTCTTTACCCCCTCCTCTACTTTTCTCTCACTTGGACAAATACCGACCAGAAGAGAGGAGCGGAGAATTGTTCTGTTTTACCGATCGAAGAATTGGGTCAAGTGACAAAATTTCAATTTTCGATTATTTCCTCTCAGGTAAAGGAAAGAATTTTCCAACACAAGAAAATAAATACCAAATAGGTATTCTTGCCACTAGACAATATCGGAAATGAAAAGAAAAATCTTAGACAATTTGTAAAATTTTTATTATTAAAATTACATCAAAATGTAAAAGACGAATTTTAATTCGAATTCGATTGTAGTTGCCATAAATTTTCCGCGATTTTTATGATACCACAAAATTGGTATTCTTGCTACTAGAACATACCGGAAATGAAAAAGAAAATTGATAAATATTTGTCGCCGCAATTTGCTTGGAAAGTTTTCGAAAAAAATTACTGCCAATCGGAATTTTCATTTGCTTTGAGTTCCGAACTTTTTCAGTCGAATTTTGTTACTATTCTTTGGTCAAAGTAGGTATTCTTGACACTAGAACATACCGGAAATGGAAAAAATAAATGTTTATTTCTACTCCTGCAATTTGCTTTCAAAGTTCCGCTGGAAATTTTTCCACAAACTTTTCCAGAAGCATTTTGTCGAAATTATTATTAGTAATTTAATTAAATACTTATTTTTAGCAAACTGGGTATTCTTGCCACTAGAACATATCGGAATTAAAAAAGAAAAATGTTTTTCCATTTGGAAAAATCTTATTTCTGAATTGCCGAATTTGGGAAATAAATATCGGTGGTATTGATACAATTTTTAGGAGACGAATATCTAGTACCACCTTGTGATGGAATTACGGATCTTTGAAGACAAAACTCTTCTCGGGAAAAGTAGAGAGAGAAGAGAAAAAGATTGCCTGCAAGCGAAAATCAAGTCAATGAGATATTGGATTATTTTCTTTTGGAATATAATACCAGGAGACGAGTGTCTCCGGATGAAAAAGATAATTTATAAACGATAAATTGAGTTTCCAAGTTTATTGAATTTAGTTTCTCTTCTATTTTTTTGTTTTAATGAACTCAATTGAGTTAGCCAGGGGAGTTGTTTTAATTTTTCCAGATCGTCTCAATTATTGGATCAGAGTAATTGCTACTTTTGCTAATTGTATTTTTGCAATTTCCTATTTACTCCCATTAGCCATTAGAATTTTTCCCCGATTTTTTATTCTTGCAAATTGAAATTTGTTTCTGGTAAAGTAATTTGAATTTGGAATTGTTTTCTAAATTAAATTTAGATTTATTTTTCTAATTTACAACTGGAATTTAGATTTGGATTTCTACCTGTAATTCTTATTCGGATACCAAATTGCAATTAGCTATTTACAATTTGAATTTTAGCAGACTGAATACGTAATTAATTGCCAGCAACTGTTTGCAAAACTGTTTTCCGAATTGTTATTACGTTCGAAGATGTAACATAGTTTAAATATTTAATAACGAGTTATTAACTAGATATTTGAACCTAGACTAAAAAGTTCAATAGTTCGGGGAAACTTTTCATCTAAATTTTGATTCGGATAAGAATTCGGATTTAAAATTGCAACTACAAAAAAAATCAAAAGCCTCATGCAATCTAATTACACAGCCCCTCTTGAAAGAAGCAGGGTTAGACTTTGTTCATTACCGAAAAATAAATGGTGATTTTCATCCCAAACCGTTTTTGCACTCTAGACATCGTATAACAATGCTCTCTCTTTCTCATTCCAAACTCTCACTCCCATAGTTTCGCGATCTTACTCCCGTGAAACTTGGCCAATATTTTAACCCAACGAGGGTGTTTTCGAGAGTTGATGGTTTGAGGGTGTATTCAGCCGTTTCTTGCCAGCGACCTTGTAACGTCTCCCTTGGGAGCATTTAATGCTTCCCGTAAGATCGCAATTCCCTTTGGCCACTTGAGGTAGAGAAGGGGTGTCGGCAAGAAGAGAAGGAATTGTTACTTCTCTAACGAAGCCGAACAGACACAATTTTCAACTTTTCACACGATGGTATGGCGTGGGGGGTCTGAAAAATAATAATTCCCAAAAGTGAAACTTTCCTTAAGGATGTAGAGGTGAATAATGTCCTTCTCAGTCGGTTGAGAAAGACAGAAAGGGGGCGACAGTGGGAACGGGAGAATGGAAATTTGATTAGGGAGGTGATGACTTCAATTCCAGTAAATCAACTGGGAAGTGCCTCATTCGTGTCTCGCCTTGTCTTAGTCTAGTAGTTTCATTTTGGCCAGCAGATCTGCATAGACAACGGACGGAATGGCACGACGTTGTTTGCAGTGATTTGAAAGATTTAAAAAGTTTGTTAAAATCTTTGTTGAAAATTATTCCAGTTTCGATGGATCTACTTTTATTTAGTGGCGCAATCGGGAGGAGTTTATTATAATTATCATCACTAATGGAGGTGGTGTTTAATTATTATAATTAGCAGAGGGAAGTGTTTAGAAAGGTATTCTTGCCACTAGAACACATCGGAATTTTCCCAAACAAATTCAAATGGATATTATCGTCACTAAAATGTATCGAAATCAAAAGTTTTCTTTAGTTTTCTCTAATAATTCCAAACAGGTATTCTTGACACTAGAACATACCGGAATCAGAAGCATACCCTAGAATTCTGTCATACTCCAAAGTAGATATAATTACAAACAGTTATTCTTGATTCTAGAACGTACCGGAATCAGAAGCTTCCCCTAGTTTCTCCTAATAATTCCAAGGAGATATAATTTCAATGAGGTATTCTTGACACTGGAACGTACTGGAATGAAAAGCTTCCCCTATTCCCAAACAATTTCAAATAGTCATCCTCGTCAGTGAAACGTAGAGGTAACAAAACCTTCCCCTAGTTTGCTCTAATAATTCCAAGTAGCCTTAATTCCAAACAGGTATTCCTGACACTAGAACGTACCGGAATAAAAAGCTTCCCCTAGTTTTCCTCCTAATCAATTGTAAATACTCATCCACGTCACTAAAACGTACCGGCAACAAAAGCGTCCCCTACTTTTCCCAAACAATTCCAAATAGATATCCCCTTCACTAAAACGTACCGGAATCAAAAGCCTCCCCTAGTTCTTCCTAATAATTCCCAGTACCCACAATTCCAAACAGGTATTCTTGCCACTAAATCATACCGGAATCAAAAACCTCTCCTCCCAAAACATACCAACGCACCAAAAAAATGCTAAATCCAAAAACACTGTAGACGGTGATTATTTTTCTAATTCTAATAGTGCCATTGGTCCCTAATCTTGATGATGGGTTATTTTTTTTTGGTAATATCCGAAAACAACTCGCGTTTCTAAATGTACCACGAGATGAGGAATATTTAGGAGATGAGTCAGGGAGAAACTCAATTTTCCTCAACCCCTTAATTCTCAGAGCATCGACTTTCTTTTTTGATGACACACAAGCTTCTTTTAGTGGAGGCAAAAAAGAAACGAGATCCATTACCGATGAAGCAGAAACCTCAATCTGTGCTTACGACGACCTCGGGGAAACTCAATTCCTCACTTCATACAAACTCGAATATGAACTCTCTGACTTTCTCTATAGACTCAAAATGTTCTCCAGTATTAAAAAGAGTGGAAGTGCTTTTTCAAATGGGATAAATTAGATTAGAAAACTGTCTTTTGGTGTTGGTAATTAGTACTAATTAGTTTTGTTTGTAACTACCTTTGGTATTAACTACTTTTGGTATCAGCTACCTTCGGAATTAATAATCTTTAGTGTTAGCAATTACCTTTGGTATTAATTACCTTTGGTATTAATTACCTTTGGTATTAATTACCTTTGGCATTCAATACTTTTGGTATTGACTACCTTTGGTAATCACTCTAACCCTCATAATTATTATCATCCATTATTACCAAAAATAATATCAAAAAAAAACACAACCTTAATAACTTTTTTTCTTCCTCTGTTTCAGTATCCTCAACAATAATAGTTCGGAGAAGCCAGATCCAGACAACATTAAAATGTTTGTCGGCCAAGTGCCAAAGGATATGGACGAGAATGACCTTCGACCTATCTTCGAGGAATACGGCCGAGTTCATCAAATCAATGTGTTGAGAGACAAATTCAGTGGAAACAGCCGTGGTAAGTAATTTTTTCCACAATGTTTTTATTCCCCACCCACTAGAAAAGCTCTAATATTGCGTCCCTACTACTAAACATGTTTGTAAAAATTTTCTTGAGAGGCATCGAATGCGTTTTTTTTGCTTCGCCTACTAGGGGAGTATTGTTATTAAGCCCCCCCTACTTGATTCGATCCTAACTAGGCAAAGTAGGTAACTAGACTCTTCCAACTAAGAAGACTTTTGCGCTTTATTTCCAGAAAATCTCGGATATGAAGTTTATTTTCTGTCTACTGAAAATTTTCCAATCAAACTACTTGAAACAGTAGGCGGATACTATTTAAAGACGTTCCTAATAGGCAGAGCTTAATTAAAAACCGTTACAGTAGGTGGAGCCTAATACAAAGGCGTTTCTAATAGGTGGAGCTTAATTTAAAGGCGTTACAGTAGGTGGAGCTTAATACAAAGACGTTTCTAATAGGTGGAGCTTAATTTAAAGGCGTTACAGTAGGTGGAGCTTAATACAAAGACGTTTGTAATAGGTGGAGCTTAATTTAAAGGCGTTACAGTAGGTGGAGCCTAATACAAAGCCGTTTCTATTAGGTGGAGCTTAATTTAAAAGCGTTTCCAGATGGCGGAACTTAATTAAAAGGCGTTACAGTAGGTAGAGCTTAATAATAAAACGTTTGTAACAGGTGGAGCTTAATTTAAAGGCGTTACAGTAGGTGGAGCTTAATACTAAGACGTTTCTAATAGGTGGAGCTTAATTAAAAGTCGTTACAGTAGGTGAAGCTTAATAATAAGACGTCTGTAATAGGCGGAACTTAATTTAAAACCGTTTCCAGATGGCGGAGCTTAATTGAAAGGCGTAACAGTAGGTGGAGCTTAATAATATGACGTTTCTAATAGGCGGAGCTTAATTTAAAATCGTTTCCACAAGGCGGAGCTTAATTAAAAGGCGTTACAGTAGGTGGAGCTTAATAATTAGACGTCTGTAATAGGCGGAGCCTAAATTAAAAGCGTTTCCAGAAGGTGGAGCTTAATTATAAGGCGTTACAGTAGGTAGTGCTTAATAGTAAAACGTTTCTAATAGGCGGAGCTTAATTGAAAGGCATTTTCAAAAGGCGGAGCCTACTTAAAAGGCGTTACAGTAGGTGGAGCTTAATAGTAAGACGTTTCCAATAGGCGGAGCTAAATTTAAAATCGTTTTCATAAAGGGGATCTTAATTAAAAGGCATTACAGTAGGTAGAGCTTAATAGTAAGCCGCTTCTAATAGGCGAAGCTTAATTAAAAGGCGTTTCCAGTAGGCGGAACTTAATAGTAAAGCGTTTCTAATAGGGGGAACGAAAAGAAGCATATTCTAAATTATGCCCCGCCTACTAATCGCATCCAAATGTTTAACTCCGCCTACTTGACACGCCCTAAAATTACGCCCCTCCCACCAAACACGCCCCCAATTTTTCTGAAGTCTAAAAATTAATTTTTTAAAAATATTTTACAATCATTTCTCACCTAAAATTTGTTGTCTACTTTCTAAATAATACAAAAATCATTCTGCAAAAAAATTTCGTAAAATTAAAATTATTGGAATAATTTTCTTTTAGAAATTTTTTTGGTTTTTTGCTTATTTTATAAATGGGGTAAATTTATTTTGGTAAATTTTGTTGATTATCCGAGTGTTTGATGGATAAATTTGAAATAAAATTTTAATGGACGAGAAATGTGTGTGATGTGTGGATTTAATGATTTTCTATCGAGTACAAATCGGCTTTTGGACAAATTGTAAATCTGGTTTGAGATTATGTGGTTTTTGGAATGAGGAGGTGGGAGGGGGAAGGGTTGTTAAATAGAGTAAAAAGAGGGAAATGGGGAGGGGTTGTTATGGTGGATAACTATTAAATACGAGTGTAATCGGAAATTTTTCGAAAGGTTTTTAAAAAAAGTAACATATCAATTCAGTAAAAAAAATTTGTTTTATTGAATTATTTTCTATTTTTGATTCGTGATTAATTTTTTTAATTTTTAATACAAAATTCATATTTCGAAATAAAGTTTTTTTATGTCACAAATAAAAATAGCCCAAAATAAAAATTATTTTTAGAAATAAATTATATTTTTTCTAACTCGATAAAAATTATTTTTGGAAATAAATTCTATTTTTTTTTTGAGAAATTGAAAATTATTTTTAGAAATAAATTCAATTTTTTTCTTATAAAATAATAATTTTATAATTATTAATAGTAATAATTTAAAAAATTTAATATTTTTTTTGAAATTTGATCTCAAATTAAAAAATTGTCTTAATTAACTGTGGACTAATATTTTTTTAAGTAAAAAAATTAATTTTTATTAAAACAAAATGTTAAAATAGTGATTTTTCAATAAGGGAAGGAATTTTTTAATAACTAAAAAGGAGAGGGGGAGGAGAATTGGATAATCTCTGTTTTTGGAAAATCATCGTTTATCATTCGTCATGATTCAATGGCACTTGACTTTTCTTTTTTTTATTTTCACCTTCAAGAGAAGTTGATCGAGGTTGACATAAAAAAATTGGCAAAGGGTCGACAAGAAGATGGTGTAAAAGGTGGGGAGGGGAGGGGGGTGAAGGTTCAACTGTCTAAGAAGTCAAGTAGCAATAAATCACTTGACGAGAAAATCTTGCCTAACTTTTCCTTTTATTCAAACTACTTCTTTTTTTTAATTAAAAAAAAAAAATTTCTCAAAAGTTATTTAAATCTTTTATATTTTTCAATTTTTTTTTTCATTTTAAATTTTCTTTTTTTCTCTCCTTTCTTTTTTCGTTGACATTTTAAAAATTTTTCCTGACTTTTATTTTTTGCCGCTCTTTTTTTTCGTATTTTGCTATGGGAGAGAAGAAAATTTTTCGCTAGAAGATTCAATTTCTTAATTTGTCACTTTGTCAACGTTGCTGAAGTTTTTTTTTCGCTTTTTGGAGAGAAAACAAAATTTTTGTGTCGACTATCAATCATGTGTGGAGCAAATGTTCAATTAAAAAAAAAGGAAAGGAAAACATGGAAAATAATAAATAAAATGTATGACAAAGTGGAAAAAAATTGGACCTAATTGAAAAAAATTTTTGAATTGAAAAAATATTTTATAAACAAAATTTTTTTAATTGAAAAAAATATTTTATAAACAAAATTGTTTTAATTGAAAAAAATATTTTATAAACAAAATGTTTTTAATTGAAAAAAATATTTTCTAAACAAATTTAATTTCTAAAGAACACATTTAAATTTTATAAACAAAAATTTATTTCCAAATACTTTCATTTTATTAAAAAAAGAATTTTTTTTCCAAAATTACTTTTACTTTCTCCTAAAAAATGATTAAATTCCCAAAAATTATCTTCTTTTGAAAAAATAAAATTTATTTTACAAAAATTATTTTTGTTTTGTTATAATAAAGAAAAATTTATTATTAAAAATTATTTTCTTTTAAAAAAATTAAATTTATTTAGATACTAATTAAATTAATTAACATAATTAAATTAATTTAACTATTTTTTTGTTTTGTTATAATAAAGAAACTTTTATTACTGAAAATTGTTTACTTTAAAAAAAAATAAATTTATTTACTAATTAAATTCATTCAAATAATTAAATTAATTTAATTATTGTTTTTATTTTTTTTTTGTAATAAAGAAGCAATTTTATAACTGGAAATATTCTTCTTTTAGAAAAATTAAATTTATTTACTAATTAAATTATTGTTTGTGTTTTGTTATGATAAAGAATTAATAAACCAAGTAAAATAATTAAATTAATTTAAATATTGCTTTTTATAATAAGGAATAATTTATTACTAAAAATTATTTTTGTTAAAAAAAATTGAATTTATTTACAAAATTTATTTTGTAAAAAAAAATTTTGTTATTAAACAGGAAAATTTACTTTTAAAAATTATTTTTACTATTTTAATTTTGTCCAGGGAAAAAAATACATTTACACTAAAATTCCCCTCGAAAAAAAAAATTACAATACATTTAACTAAAAATCCCTTAGTAGGACATCACTATACAAGTTTTTTCTCAAATTTCCTTACCCCTACTCTTTTTTTTCCTTTTTTAAATGCCTTCGACATTGAAAGGGCAAGAAATAAGGAAGAGGCATTTCCTGCCTTGCCAAAGTAAAACAGAGATGAAAATAAAACAAGCGAAGCTAGAGAAAGTAAGTTAGGTGAATTTATTGTCGAGAGAGAGAAAGAGAGAAAGCGAAAGAGTATGTGAAAGAAAGAAGGGGGAGGGAGGAAGGATTCGAGCAAAGGACTCGAACATCCACACAAGTTTGTGTACATTTTGGCCTGAGAGAGAGGAGGGGGGGTAGATAGTGGGGGGGAGGAATGCAGAAGGATCGATGCCCAGACAGTGGTGGTCGCTGGACGCTTCCACGACCCTTTCTGGGTCTATTGATCGAACATGGGAGGAGGGGGTACCCCTTAAGCCCATCCACTCACCTCTTCCCCCCCCCACCCACCCACAACCTACTCGTGAACTTCTGCGACCAAACATAAGTAGAATCCACGTAGCGTAAGCGAAAACCAAATGTCATATGTATGTAGTTACAAAATAGACAGAAATATTTGTCTCTTCAAAATTGAGCTATAGGCAACCCGCCATACACGAATATTGAATTTTTTATTTGTTTAATTTTTCGAAAAGAAAAGAAAAATTTCCAATTTTTATTTTTACAACATTTTACCATTCTTACTGTTTTTTTTTTTTTTTTTTTGAGCGAAATAATTTGAATTTGGCGCCTTTTTTAAAATCTATGAGCCTAAAAGAATAGGAAACTGGACAAAATTTCAAAAAGGCGCGAAATTTAAAATAATTTTTTTAATTTGGAGGAAATTTTAAAATTTTGGAGGGTAATTATTTGAATTTGGCGCCTTTTTATTGGAAATCTGTGAAAAATAAAGAAATCTGGACAAATTTTCAAAAAGGCGCCAAATTTAACATTATTTTTTTGAATTTGGAGGGAATTTGAATTTTTTGAGGAAAA